ATTTTCTCCATAATTTCTTTAATTTAACTCATTTATTTATACTTCCTACATTCTGAAATGTTTTGAAATGCAATTCTACATCATGTTTGCTATTTTAATTCAAATTCAGGAACTGAATTGTAGTTCAAAAGGCATTTTCAGGTCAGTTCTGTCACAGTCATTGCTTTGTGTTGGTGTGCAAAGTCTTGATGACATTGAAGGAGGGTGTGGTTTTTGTTTTCAATACAAACGAGTTTGTTGTGCTTATTATTTACATTTATACAGACTACATCCTTATCTAATTGTGTTTTTTTCACTCTTACAGAGGCGATTTTGGGAGGAGTACCAGCGTGAAAGTAGCCCCAGGCCTGGAGGACTGGAGTCCATCGCCGGTGGCGTTCATTCCCTGTACCTGATCTTACCCCTGCTGCTGGTTTTGCTGCTCATTGCTGCAGTTTCCATCACAGTTTGGAGATGCCACTCACGTAAAAGATCCCAGCAGAGCCCTGCCATTGGGCGCCCACAAAGAGACACAACCCTATCAGTGGTGTCAATGGACCAGTGGGGTCGGGACTACCATCCTGACATCAGTCCTCACTCAGAGATCAGTGCCCACAGTAGCCCTGCCTACCCAGGTGCTGACCTCACACCTGGGCGGGGCAGTCGGGGTGACCCGCCCCCTTCATACGAGGAAGCTGTGGGCCATACAGATGTACAGATTGAAGCAGAGCCTCCACCACAATATGAAGACATCATCAGTAACCACGGTAACACGGTTATCATCTCCCAGGGAAAGTGACAGATCTTCCAGGCATGTTATCCAGCCTCATGTAGGGATGCATTTTGATACCAATACTGTAAACCCTGTCATTCCTTACTCGCTGTGTCTCTCTTCTCTTTTATAGCTAATGTTTTTACGGGATGTGAACATGCTTTGGCCGTTTATTTTTAAGTACTAGAAGTATTTTTTTACAACTTCACTACTACAATGACAGGCTTTTCAACTCCAGCACTAGCAAAACAGCGAAACTTCTTTACTTAATGTGAAGAGAAAACAACTTATGCAATAACATTATTCTTAGTACCGTTACGTTGTTAAACATTGAATCGCTTTGATTTCAGAGATGTTCGTAGAACTCATAACAGCATGAATCCAATGACAAAGTACTGTAATGTCATTAGTCATTCTTCCAAGTTAGTAAGGCCTATGAGTGTCAGAACATCTTAGAAATGAACTGAATATTTGGTCAGTTGTGGCCTCTCATGGGACAACTAAATAATCAGTTTCAGAGGAAAAAATGCACAATATTTTCAGGAAGTTGTACATTTTAATGTTTACTGACATTCTGTACTTCAAGGTTCATTGTAACCTTTATCAATAGCCATCTAAGCTTAGGCTATCTGTCTAGAATTGCATAGACATCACTATGCAGTGGACTCACAGCCTCAATGAAATATTGATATTGGGTTGATTTTTCTTTTCCACTAGTTGCGGTGTGTGTTAGATTTGGTTAGCATGTTGGAAACATTTCAGCTAAATGGATAACCTGTTAACAATGTGAATTTGCTGATAATACATTGCTGATAACATTGACCAAACAAATTAAATCCTGATTTTATGTAGCATCGTAGTTGTTAATGATGAATCAGACTAAGTGGGCACTAAGTCAATGTGTGTGAGGTTTTGCATTTCGGAAAATACAATACTGAAAGGAATAGTTCGCTCAAAAATGAAAAAAATTTGCTGAATATTTTCTAACCCTCAGTCTATTCAAGATGTTGATGAGTTTGTTTCTTCAATGGAACAGATTTGGAGAAATTTAGCATTACATCGCTTGTAGTGAATGGGTGCCGTCAGAATGAGAGTCCAAACAGCTGATAAAAAAACATCACAATAATCCACATGACTGTAGTCCATCAGTTAACATCTTGTGCAGTGAAAAGCTGCATGTTTGTAAGAAACAAATCCATCATTAAGATGTTTTTACACCATTGCTTCTGGCCAAAATACCAGTCCTCAATCCATAATAAGAAAAATTCCAGTGAAAAATTCTGATGGCACCCATTCACTGCAGAGGATCCATCGATGAGCAAGTGATGTAATGCTACATTTTTCCAAATCTGTTGTGATGAAGAAATAAACTAATCTATGGCTTGTGAGTACATTTTCAGCAAATTTTAATTTTTGGGTGAACTATTCCTTGAACTGTTGTGTAAGTGTGGTTTGAGGTTTGTCATTTCAGTCGAGCCACAATGAGTTCAATGGCAAAACATGGTTGACTAAATAGTCTATGCAACAGTGCTTTCTTTTCTCTCCATAGCTTTGGAGCAATTTACATGGTCACAGTCTTGTGAAATTTGTTGTTATTGTGGCCAAGGATTAAATGGGCATATTAAGCATCCCAAGCTGGGAATTCTAGGACAAGCAAGATGAATTGTCCATTGTGGAGATAATTAATAAGGAGCAAGAAGCATGCTTTTTGTGTGCAGCTGAGTTGAGCTGTGTGCAGACTCTCTTTTAGATTGGTTTTAGGGTAAATAACTTGTGTTTTGTTTCTCTAACCTCTTAGAGAATGTCGAGAAATAACAATTATGACTACCTTTACCATGCTGGTTGTTTTTAACTGAATTCTGGTATATTTTGAATGTGTTGAAGGCTGTTTTTTTACACATGGTTTGATTGTTTGAAACAGTAGTTCGATTCAACCCTTTTGCTTTCACGTGGTTTTAGGTCAGAATTGCGGTATGTTTGCATTTACAATGCAAGTGCTAGTGGCAACTGAGTAACACTATAAATACAGTGTGCTACAAAGCATAACTCTCCTCCCACGACAAATGACATTTTGCTAACACTTTAACCTGACACCTTTTATTATATTATAAAGGTATTCATAATGTACATTGTAAAGCATTCTGTATTTTTATAAATAATTGTAACCAAAGTTCAAAAGCATTACAATATTTGCAGATTCCTTGTTACATCTAAAATTGGTAGTTTATCATGTTTTAATACATAATATTTTCAAAAAGTGTAACAATGAATAGGTAAGTATTGTGGTTACAATTATTCATGAGATCATACAGTGGATTTTAACACACGCACACACACACACACACACACACACACACACATATATATATATATATATATATATATGCGCACTTCAGGTAAAGTGTTACTGATTTTTCCTCTTGAAATGTCTCTTCAGACTGTTAAAAAACTATTTTGGATATTTGACACTAACTATCAGGTTGGGCATGTCTGTGTGTTTAACAGCAAGCGGACACCGTTTACCTCATACCATTTATTCCTGGTGTCTTTCTCAGAGTCTAGTTTTCACCTCAGGCCCAGCTACACTAAACAAAAACCAAGAGAATTTCAGATTAGGATCCAATTATGGGAACAAGCTGTCCTAGTCCCCTAAAAAATTAGAAGGAACAACTCAAGGAAATATTCAGTATTAAATATCAGAAAAGTGTGTGTGTGCGTGTGCGAGAGTGTGTGTGCGCGAGAGTGAGTGTGTGTGCAAGAGTGTGTGTGTGCGAGAGTGTGTGTGTGAGAGTGTGTGAGTGAAGGAAAGAGAACATAATGGAAAACTCAACACATTTGTACTTATTCAGTAACTATGAGTGAATGCACTTTTTAGGGCACCGACTGCTCTTTGCAAAGAAATATTAATTGATGTGTAAGATGTGATAAATTACTAGAGAAAAAATGGCTGACATAAATATGCAAGAAAATCCATCACCAGCACTAACTCAAGAAAGCTTTGTGAAAATCAAAACAGTCTCACTTTGCCTACAATTGTTTGTGTTTTTAAAGGTAATGTGAAATAAGACTACCGTCATTTGAAATACAGTCTGATTATGTTGCAAGTTTGGCAGACTTTGACTGATGTTGCTGTACATGTGCAGGCTGATATTTCTGTGGTAGTTAAGAGTGATTGTGGTGGTGTTTATTGCTTAAGCCTTACTCCGAGATGGTGTATAAATATAAATGTATTAAGAACAAATAAAAAGTTTTGTAATGATTGAGCTTGACTTTTATTTGTAATAAGTTTTTTTGGCCCTCACTCTTTATTCTTATACACTTAATTTATTCAACAAAGACACAGATAATTGATCAAAAGTAACTAAGAAGACTTAGAAATTGTTACAAATAATTGTTTCAACAACTGTTTCATTGTATTATTCTATTACAAAAAATATATCATGGTTTACACCAAAATATTAAGCAGCACAACTGTTCTCAACATTGATAAATCAGAGAATTTAAATTAATTTCATAATGAGTAACAAGTCATTATGTTAGAATGATTAATGTTAGTAATGGCTGCCAAACAAATTCAGGTTTGCTGTCACAGGACTGCATGTTTTTTTTTTTTTCAAATATATGAAATTTAGATTTTTTTTTTTTAATTGCAATAATTCACATCTTTATTGGTAGCATGAGATACATTTAAAAACAAAATATCTGACAAATCTAACAAACATTTGAATGGTAGTGTATGTGTAGTGTAGTGCATAATTTGCCATGCTCCGTTTTTGTATGAGAAATCTAATATTATAGCAATATTATTACGTTGTGTTATAATATTATGACTATATTATACATATCTAATGTATATAAAATGTACAAAGTCTTACAGTATTCCCTTTTAAATTGAACAAATCCAAACAGGTTACAAACTTCAGATTTAATGTACTTGCTTTAAAATTCAGTTTAATTTCAACATTTACTACCTGAATTACTTTGCCTCCATGCAAACAAGCACACAAAGGTAGTTCTGTCATAACTTATTAACTTCATAAAGTGACTAAATTGCCCAAGCAATGGACACAAAGTTTGTTTTGTTGCCTTGGAGACATCAGATGAATATTATTAACCATGCCTAATATAAACTTGAACACGTTTTTATATCAGGAAAAGTTATTAATAGCATCTCAGAACTGAATGTTTTTTTTTTTAGGTTTATGAACCCCTATACTACTTTATTGACCAGATTTATCAGTACACCAGATTAAACCACATATAAAAACTTTATTTTGTTTCGTAATACACAAAATATCAACATTATAATGTCCTGCGAATACTCCTAATTCTGATTCCTATTTTAATAGCTGTAAAAAAAAAAAAAAAAAAGAAGCACAAGGATAAAGATATGTTAGCACATGACAGGACACAAAACAACCTTGAAGTGAGGCACAAAAAAATTCACAGGGTAAGAAAAGCAATAATGACATGGTGCTTGCATTAGCACACGGTAAACATGACCCTAGACATACGCGATTAACACATCCATTCAAAAACAGCATACCAAAGCCATTACAGGTTTCGAATACACCAGTAGTCATGATTAAAGCAGTGCAAGCAGAAACAAAGCTGTAACTAAGTAACACTGTCACGGGAGTAAACACTGCATCTCCAGTGAATCCATACAGCCAATGGCAGTGATAGAGGGTTCATTACAGCCAAGCCAGTAATCGTGCAGTGCTGCAGTTAAGTCAGAAAAAACAATCAATGAGTCAAATGATGAGAATGTGTCCTGTCGGAGAAGCTGATTTTCTGTTTTAGTGACTGTTGTACTTATTGAAGTTTGGTATCACTGAGCGAATCCAGAGAAAAACCCACCCACCATTTTCACAATTCCCGTCTAATAATGCCAATATTGATGACTAGGTAAACTGGTCTTCCTCTCAATCAGATCCATTCTTTAGGGTTCCGTAAGACCTCCAGCATCTCGGCTTCCTTAGTGCCTTTTGTGGGCTCGTGCATGTACTCCCACCTGAAATGGAACATTTATGGCTAGTGAGTTAGTAATATTAAACAATAGATTAATACAATAGAGACTCTAAAGAAAGAAGTTTTACATTACTGTGTGTTTTTAAAAGGGTAATATGAGGAATCCCATTTTCCTTTGTTTGAGGTTATCATATTAGCTCATTTTTGGAGATGGTTGTGAAAATCTTCTTGGTGTGGAAAAACGTTTTACTTGTGTTATAAGTGGAGCTCACGGAAAACATGTAAAAAAAAAAAACATTTTAAAAATGTAACCTTTAAATTAGGCTATACAAGTAAAAAAGTTCACAAAATGTTATGATAAAAGCTAAAAAAGGATGATCCATGGTAACAGGCAGTAGCTAACATGCCAATGTTTGCTAAATACAAAGTCCTTTACCTAGCAGTAAGTGGTAGGGACATCAGGATGCTCTCGATGCGAGACCCAGGTGTGGCCAGGCCGAATTTCACCCCTCTGTCATACACTAAATTAAATTCCACATATCTAAGAGACACAAAGAGAGTTTGGTTAGCTGCTGAACATGTATATTTTACAGACATATACGGCAAACATCAAATTAAACTCAAAAAACTATTACAAATGTAGTAATAACTATGTATAAATATATTACTATATATCAAATATAGAATAATGATGACTATTGAATATTATTAATATTCAGTTATATCTGAATTCACATAAGATAGTATTTTAATTGTTTGTATATATTTGAAGATATTTTTTTCCATATGTAGGTCTGTATGTTGCTGGCAATATAATATTTTTTCAGCATTATACAATTTAATTATAAAAAAAATACTAACACTAGCTTCTCTAATCTTTTTGTATTCTATTTGTTTTCTTTTATTTATTATACAATTCACAAAAAGCAAAAAAAAGGCCTCTAACAGTAGCTTGCTCTATTCTTTTACTATTCTATCCGTTTTCTTTTTATTTATTATATAATTTTAAAAAAACTTGCTACGTGCATTGCGTTAGGCTAACTGAGACTTGTTATAGCACTTGCATATAAAAGTAAATGTAATGTAAATCAAAAAACATACTTATATACATTACTGTTCAAAAGTTTGGGGCTTTTAAAAATGTTTTTGTAAGCAATGTCTTGTGTTCACCAAGGCTGCATTTATTTGATCAAAACGCAATAAAACAATACAGTTGTGAAATATTACAATTTGAATTTTGTTGTCTTTAATATATTTCAAAATATAATTGACCCCTATAATTGCAAACCTGCATTTTCATATCTATTACTCCAGTCTTCAGTGCCATATGATCCTTCAGAAATCATTGTAATAAGCTGATTTGATGATCAAGAAACATTTCTTATTATGTTGAAAACAGTTGAGTGCTGAGTGCTGCTCAGTATTTTTGTGGAAATCATGATACTTTTTTCAGGATTTGTTGATTAATAGAAAGTTTAAAATAAACAACAGCATTTATTTGAAATATAACTTTTTTGTAACAACATTTTTAAATATATATATATATACTGTATATAAATCACTCTACATCAGTATGGTCTCCCTCTTTAACCAACCTGCCTCTCCTGACTTGCTGCCAGTCCATCTCCTCAGGGGTAAAGGAGTCGTTTAGGTGTTTGTTTACAATGGGCAGGTAACAAGGCACCACAGTTTTAGCGCAGCTCTTCACAAAATTAAAGACCTCCTCCTGATTGGGGGAATCCAAATCATCAAAAAAGATCCCACCAATGCCTCTCGTCTCCCCTCGGTGACGGATGTAGAAGTAATTGTCACACCTTGAGAGAAAAATAAAATACTGGTGCTAATCTAATATTTAAGGAAAAAAACTATTTAATCACAGATTTAATAAAATTACATTTTAAAAATTTATAAAATAAAATACTAAAATGAAGTACTAGCAATCAAAGATTTGAAAGACTCTGTCTTTTAAATGAGCATCTGTCTCATTCATGATAAACTGAAAAGAAAATTAAAGGGATGTCTTTAAACAAAAGTGTTGACTCCCAAAAAACTAAACAAAACAATAAATGCTGCAAATAATGGGAAATCTTATCATTGCTGAACAGTTCAAATCCACCCAGAAGATAAAACGCTCATCCACCACACACACACATCCTCACACCCATAACAGCTGTAACACACCCCATTCAAACGACACACTACTGGAATGAGATTCCTACCACTTTTTGAAGTCTGGGTAATACTTAGGATGGTGCTTGTCACATGCTTCCTTCAGAGTCTTGTGGAAATGGGCGGCATCTTCCAAATCAATATAAACAGGAGTGAGATCCGTTCCTCCACCAAACCACCACTGCTTTGTGCCTGTGACAAGGAGTGAGATGGATAGAGAACATGGGTGGTGGTCACAGATAACAACATCTCTCTTCTCACAGCCTCGAATGACTTGGCAAGAACACTCACCGTCTCCTTCCTCAATCTCAAAGTATCTGTAGTTGAAGTGCACTGTGGGGATGTGGGGGTTTTTTGGGTGTATGACTGAACTCACGCCCATGGCACAGAACGGCAGCTTCCCTGGAACACAGAGATAGTGCTAACCAGTGAAAACAATAAATTAAGCATCAAGTCACGTCCTCTCAATAACCCTCAACTCCATGAGGCATGACAAATCTTCACAGTAAACGCCTTAAGACCACTGACGGTTCAAACTAATTCCAAAATTAAAAACTAGAAGTAGAACCGAAGATATAAGGAACTGCTTTCAGTCACACTCTGCATTCACCTCGAAATAGGAAGTCAGTCTCTCACCATCTTTCCCTTTCAGAACTTTTCCACGGCTGCGCATTTGCTTGGCGGCCTCTTCGGTGAGGTTCCCAAACACCACGGACACGTTCACACCCGCTTTCTCAAAAACCTTCCCATCTTGCATCACACAGCTGATGCCACCACCACCTTTATTAGACACAAGAGAAACATGCAATTGGGTTTGTTACAATGTAACACCAGCACAAATCTTCTAGCTAATATTTAATGTATGAATGTTTCTGTTTTATAGCTGAACAAAGCAAAATCTAAATCTTTCCATCACCTTGTTGGGAATCACTGATCTATGGAACGATTAACTTCTTTATATAGCAGATTGTTATAATATATAATAATAAAGCACACATCTTTGTCACAATAATAGCTTAATAATAATTAGAATGCAACAATAAAAACCTAAGATGCATTACGATTACGAATAGGCAATTATGTCAAAATGAAATGTTTCGAAATAAGCCTGACACTTAACCAATTACATTAAGGTTTTAAAAATAACATTTGGAAAGTTTTTTTTTTAATATATATATATATATACGCTATGGAGGTCCATTTCTGATTTTGATACTGGATGATAAAATGACTTTATAAAATTCATAAAGAGATGGTAGTGTATATAGTGCATTGTAAAGGTGCATAGTACGTCATTTGAGACAACTTATATGGCATAATTAAGAAATTAAAAAGTAGAAATTATGACAAACTGTTCAAATTAAGACATAAACGATGATGACATAAAAAGTCTAAATAATTAGATAAAAAGTAGAAATTACAACAAAAATCATCATGACAGAGTCAAAATGATTAGATAGTGATAATTGTGACAGAAAAAGCTGAAATTATGAGATTAGTCATTATAATTATGGCAGAAAGTCACAATTATGATAAAAAGTTATTAGATATTGAAAATTATTATCGAATATATTGAAATTATTAGATATAAAGTCAAATTTATGTTATAAAAAGTTATAAATTCACCAAAATATCTACTTGTGTACTTTTTATTTCAGAATTTCAACTTTTATTTATTTATTTTTACCAAAACATGATTTTTTTTCTCCCACTTATGTGGTGGAAATGGCTCCCATATACCTGTAGACCCAAACATAAATTAGGACTTTGGACCATCATGTTTGCTCTACTTTATCTAAGCCTTGTGTGCCACTATGTTATCGTAAATATATTTGATGTTTTACTCATAGCATCACTGAAAGTGTTTTTTAAATGAAACACACATAGAGAAAATCATTATAAATCAATAAAAAAGTCAAAAGTTATATTAGTGAAGTCAGCAGAAATGAGCTAACCTTCCTTCCTACTCCATCTGTCCACCCTGAACGAGCCTCCATCCACCTCCTCAAGGGCTCTACAGAACGCAGCCTGTGTCTCCATGATGAGCATCTCCATTCTCGCAGACATCGCGTCTTTCCTCTGCTCTAAGACCTTGATGTCAGTGACTGGTACAGACATGAACGACTTGCATCTCTCGCGTATGTTCCCCTCTTCTTCTTCAACCTTGGATATCTTCGTTGCCATCTCGGCCCGCTGAAAGTGACTTACACCTGCCGTCAGGACCCCGGTGACAGCTGCTGCCCCAGCAGCCAGAAATACACCGTACCGTCCGAGTAAGATCCTCCCCGGCGATGCTTGAGACATCTGTCTCGTTCCTGCTCTTATGAATGACCATTTTCCTCCCAGAAGAAAGGCACATTTACGGAGGGTAGAGTAACGGGCTACGAAAGAGTGGAAATCAGCTGTACCATGCGCAGAGCGGGACACTTGGCACAGTCTTGCTATTGATCTCGCTGAGCTGTGTATTGTGCACAAAGCTATAGAAGTCATTTTGTCTACTGAGCGACAACAACTGTATCGGTCCACGAGCTACCAGTTGATAAGAGGATCATAAATGGGTGTAAACTGTAAAGTAACTATATGCAGTTTTGCACGTAGCTTCTCCAACAGTTCTGCCCGCGGAGGCGTGTCGTGACTTTTATATGCGAGTCGAGGTGTATTATGGGAAATTGAGTTTTTCTCCTATGAACTGTGTTTTATTTAATATTGTAGGGACTACATTTACCATAAACGTGAAATACGAGCTATTCGTGATACTTCCGAGATAATAAAGGAATAAATATTTTAATAATGCCAGGACCTTAAAATGATCATTCACACTCTGTCATGTTATAAATACCTTTTAAATATTACTATTAGTATAATAATGTTAATGCACAATACTTGTTGTCTTTGTGCTAATGTTTTTGATTTATTTATTTATTTTTTACAAGAAAGTGAAATCCAGCAAAGTGTCAGGGTCAGCAAAACGTTACTGGCATGGGTGTTAAAAAATCTAATATTACCAAAGCATATAAAGTATAATTAATAGACGTAGAAAATGATTTCTTTGCTTACATCACCTTATTTAAGGAAATAAACTTTAATTGTTTATTCATAACGATTTTGCCAAACAAACCAAAGTATTCCTTGTTGTATCTTATTGTTTTTTCCACTAACTGTATCACAGATCAAATCTGGCTGGATCTCCCTTCTACATTTACAAAGAGTCTGCGCATGCGCGCGCTGCCACGACAGGCCGTGTTGTGCGTCTCTATGGCAACAGCTGTTACATGCTACTTTGAAGCTGAGGCCAGCAGAGGATTAGAGCGAGCTGCTCTCTAATGTACAGGTGCGCGTAGAGACCAGATCTTGAATAAATAGGCCGGCTAATGAATTACCATTCATTATTTTTGCACTTAACGCGAGGCAACACCATACTAAAGTGTTGGAGGTAAGCTGCATACATTTTCAAAGGCGCGGGAAAGTAATAAAACTGAATTGTAAAAGCAGACGATAGGTTAACTATATCATGCAATGACAAGACCACCAGGTTTTGTGTTGTAATATTAGCCTTAATGCTCGTTAAAATGTTATTTTATCACAGAAATTTCACATTATAATTATTTAGGCATTGCAGTGCATTTAGTGGAATGGCCAAATGTGGCATTTACAACATGAAATATAAAGTCCCTCTTTAAATATATAAACTGCGTCTGCAAAGTCTGTTAAAAAAAATAGAAAAAAATTAAAGAAGAATGAATACAATTTAGAATTACAAATAGTTTTTTTTTATTGGACAGCAATGTAGAATAATGTTACTTTAATTGTCACTGTAGACCAGTGTTATTTTAGTATCTCTGAGATACTATTATAGTTTTATTAATACTTAGAAATAGTTTTTATTTTTATTATATTTGGTGTTTTCATTTTAGTAATTTAGTTGCATGTTTTTGTCTTTTTTATGATTCTTTTCTTTTTAAGATAGTTTTTATTTAGTTTTAGTTCTTTTTAATACGTGAAGTTAAATCAAGTTATTATATTTTAATTAACACATTTTTTTAAAGGTTTTAGTTAACTATAATAACCTTTGCTCATTATGGATCAGTTTCCATGTCTACACTCCTGTGTTTCGCTTTCTGAAACTCTCTGACATCTAATTTATGAGACTCCAAGCTGTTTGAATCTAAAGCCGTAATGCATTTGGACATTATTTATTACATAACTCTAGCTACATTCATGCCAACAAATCAACCAAGTGTGTTGTACATTTATGTGATATGTCTTTCTGTACGTCTTCTATATTATTGCAATTGCTTTTATGTAACTAAATCAAAGTGAGAATTAAGGATGATCAATAAATTGGTCAATAAAATCTAACATTTATTAATAAATGGCCAAATAATAATTTCAAATAACTATACATATTTATAATCATTTACATTCAAAAATGTTCTATAATCTTTTTTGTTTGGAAACAGAAGGGAGATGTTTTTTCTATGTGCTCCATTTTTCATTTGCTGTGTCTTAGGAGAAAGTGAAGAGAAAATGAGTGATTCTGCAGTCCAGAACACTCCAGATGAGTATGAGGATGACTTTGAGAAAGACCTGGACTGGCTAATCAGTGAGGAGAGCAAGAGTGAGGAACAGGTAAGTGAGTGAATGTGCAATGATGGCAGAAACAGGTTCATATCTCTGAGACAGTCTTCTGGTGTGTGGTATTCCATTACACAGACGCTGTACCTGTGTGTGTGAAATCAACCCCACTGATACAGATCCATACACACTTTCACTCACCCAGAGAACTATGTCTCATGGCACTGCATTATTCAACACATACTCTCTATGTATCTGATTCACCCCTTAGAAAACATGCTCTCCTTAAAGGGATAGTTCATCCAGAAATGAAAATTCTGCCATCATTGATCCAAACCTCTATGAGTTTCTTTCTTCTGCTGAACACAAAAGAAGATATTTTGAAGAATGTGGGTTTCTGGTCCCCATTGATTTCCATAGTATTTTTTCCTCATACTATGTTTGTCAATGGGAAGTTTGGGAACGAGCAACTATTTGATTACCCACATTCTTCAATATATATATATATATATATATATATATATATATATATATATATATATATTGACAGAATCTTATTTTTGGGGTAAACTAAACCTTTAACACACACAATGCCTTACTCCTTTTACTTTTTCAATTTTCTCCAACAAAGGATCCTAATGATGATGACATTGAAGCTCAGATAGACAAAGAGCTTGAAGAAGATGAGCATAAAGAAGATGTACACAAACACAAGGAAATAGCTGATGAAGAAGCGGATGAAAGGTGGCCAACGCCCATGGAGCCATTAGAGGGTGCATTAGAGCCTGACAGGGATGGCCTTGTAACCTCTCCACATTTACAGAACGACGAAGACCTCGATGAAGAAAAGAAATATATTTTGGATAAGATTCAAGAGGCTAACAAACAACTCCAGGACCAGGATCCTCCAGACCATAGCCGGCGCAGACGGCTGCAGTTTAAAGACACTCTGGTTGACCTGGTGGTGCCTGCACTAGAGTTTGACGCTCAAGAGAGCAATGGTGCCTCCTATATGGACTTAGTGGAAGAGCAAGAGGTGTCCGGACAAATGCAGAGACTGAAGATCTCTCGGAAAGAGGAGAGTGGGTTTGGAGAGCCTGAGGATGAACATAACGAGGGAGCTAAGGAAGGACGGGTTTTGGTTGAAAAAGATGGAAAGTTTGATCTGGTGAGTCTAAAGGAGGTGGAAAGTCAAGGATTGCTTCCTCCCTTGCCGGCTTCTCACGGCGACAATCAGCGAGCATCTTCATGGCAAAGTGAGTCTGGTCTCCATCTCGGCAAGAGTCCTGTCTCCTCACCGAGGCAAAATTCTACCTCACCTTTTCCCCCTGGCACTGAGACTCTATACATTCCCAAACCTCCACCGAAGCACCGAAATAGACCCAGTTCTGCCAGACCGTCCCAAAGGGGAGCATGGGTTCATGGCAACAAGCGCAGGGTCCAGTCTGCAAATGGAGCTCCTTCACATGCCACTTTCACTCTGTCACCACAGCAGAAAGAATTACTGGTCAGACTTCAGCAGCAGAGAGAGAGGCAAGCGAAAGAGGTGTGATGTGGTTTTAATATCAGTTTAATATCAGTTTCTGTCATAATGTATTATAAAAACTGATGTAATTTCCTGTTTTTGTTCTGTCCTCCTTTCTGCTTCTTCTGGTTCCTTTTTAGGATGAGCTTAAGAAAAAAGAGGAAGAGGAACAGAAGCGTCAGGAGAATGAGATAGCCTTCCGATCATGGCTTATGAGGAAGAGAGAACAGCTGCTGGAGGAGAGGAGAGTTCAGAAAGCCCAAGAAATGGAAAGGATGAGCTGCAGGGTATGTCCACCAGGGGGAGCCGTTTAATCAGTAATTGTGATGCCAACCCCCCCTCCCCCCTGCATAATACATTATATATATATATATATATATATATATATATATATATATATATATATATATATATATATATATAAAAAATAATTACCTTATACATTGTACATTTTTCATAAAATATTATTTTATATTTTTATTATAATAGTTTTATACTTCTATTATTTGATCAAAATAAGTTAAATACTAATATTGTGAAATTAGAATAACTGTTTTATATTTTTATATCTTTTAAAATGTAATTCATTCCTGTGATGGCAAAGCTGAATTTTCACGAGCTATTACTCAAGACTTCAATGTCACATGTTTCTTGTTATTATAATAATAGTATTTCTTATTATTATCAGTGTTGAAAACATTGTGCCACTAAATAGTTTGTGGAAACTGTGACACATTTTCAGAATTCTTTCATTAATAGAAAGTTCAAAAGAACAGCATTTCTTTATTTATTTAAAAAAAAAATTTAAAAATTTGTTGTTATGCCAGAGAGACTGTGGTGACCCAGAGGAGGCCTTTAAAAATTGGCTCCATAAAAAACAGGAACAGCAGTTCATAGACAAGCAGATAGAGGAGATTAAGAGACTGGAAAAGGAGAGCGGCTTTTGCCTGCACAGCCGAGAGGAGAGTGAGAAGGCCTTCAGACAGTGAGTTCAGCACCATATATTGCTCTTCTAAAATCAGGAAACAGAGGGAGAATTGTATTTAAAACCAATGTAAAAGCATTTCCCTCGTGCTCTGTTGTACAATAGGTGGCTGAAACGAAAGCGCACAGAGAAAAGAGCAGAACAGCAGGCAGCTCGAGAGCGCTCACGCAGACTCATGCTGGAAGAGCGCAGAGCAAGACGCATGCATGACCTCCACTGCACTGTCAATGAGATCAAACCCTTCCGATTCAGTGACCCCTATGGATACCGCTACTGATCACTTCATAATATACACACGTGACCATTGTTACAATCAGGATCTGAACTGAAGGTCCTCCAGTTCAGCAATCACTGTGGTTACTGCTTCAAGAGACACCTATTCATCTGTATCTATGGTTACTGTTCTATTGAACTTCTCAAAGTTCTGTTGTCTCATCTCCATGATACAGTGGATGAAAGAACATGTGGTTAGGAACACAACAGGAGATCTCTTTTATTAATTTTCCATTCATCCTTTTTCAATATACAGAGATCAAACAGGTGCTTGAGTGGATATCCCTGTTCCAACAGCTTTAGGCACTTCAAATAATTGCTACTCCAAGATGATTTAATGGAGTTTTGCGTAACTGCTGAATCATCAGATATTCTCATTTTTTTGTTTAGCTGGCCATCCTGTAGTGTGCTACACAGATACTGCAGTCTGCAGGAACAATATTAATGCAGCAGTTCAGGCCCAAAGCTACAGATCAATGATCTGTATGTGGGCAGTTGACATAAAATTCTTTGGAAAATGTTTATACTTGATCTAAAACTATTTTAAACAGCATTTCTTTAATCATTATTTTTACATGCATATTTTATGACCTAATTTTAACTGAGAAACTATATGGAAGATATTTACTTTTAAAATATATTTAATAGTTACAGGATCATGACAAAATCTAGGAAAGACAAAATTGTTTTTAAAATAATGAAAACGTAAAAAAATAGATATACACTTTGCCTTATGCATTTATACAGATTAAAACTGAATGTTGATGAAAAGCTTATAGACGGGCATTATAAAGATTTTGGTCCTTGTCTGATGTTCATCATTCTGTTTTTTTTTATATTGTACTTAAGGTAAATGTTTCACATATTTACAGAAATCAAGACATATAAAAATTATTTTGAACATTATCATTAATCCCACAACAATCCCAAAACCCTCCTCAAAATAAAAAAATCAAACAAAAAAGCCTTGAAACATCATTGTATGCACACTATAGTACTGATCAAAAGTTTGGTAAAAAATACAGTAAAATCAGAAATATGGTGAAATTTTTACAATTTACGAGAATGCAATTTATTTCTGTGTTGGCAAAGGTGATTTTTAGCAGCCATTACTGAAGTGTCTCATGATCCTTCAGTTTATTCAAACTTAATATTTGATCAAATTAATGCATCCCTAAGCTTAAGAGACTTCTTTCAAAAACATTGTAATTATTTGAAACTTCTGACATGTAGGCTATATATTATTTAACATATTGAGACAAATATATGTTCAACATATGAGACATACCAATGTTTACTGGCAACAAAGTTCACATTTAAAGGTCATATTTTATTTAAAAAATGTACATGACATTACAGTGAACAGTTGCACATTTGTGATGGAGCTATAGCAAATTAGAAAACCACATTACCCAGCATCCTTATCGTGCGCCTGCGCAGAAGTCACTTTGCCGCTAATGAGTTGTTGAGGGATGCAGTGCTCCATAGCAACATCAGTACCAGCGGAGGAGCGCTGTAGAGGACGACCTGGGATAAATAGCCTGAGAATATCTGAAACAGGTGCTGCATGCGGTCAGCATGGACGACCAGAAGGTAAGAAGCGACAGCCGTTACAGAGAAATTACAAACGACGCGCTTCTGATGGAAAAAGAGAGGATGCTGCGTGAAAAGAGATACTAAAATAAGAAATACCGTTAGCTTGTAGCTTCACTTGTCACGTCCTCCGCCCATTGTGTTAGTGGATATGTGTCCTTATAAAGGACAAAGTAACAACTTCGCACCGTTGGATATGCACGGTATTTATATGTATGATGTAGGCCTGTTCGTGAAGAGTTCTTTAAGTTGATCAACAACAGCCTATAATGTGAATCACCAGAAACCGCCCCGTTCCCGCACCTCTGTAACGCGAAACGGGTATTGTTTTCAAATATTCATTACAGGAAATGCTCTGAAGGGAGGAAATAACATTGTAGTATAGTAATAGATTAATATTCACAAGCCAGAACAAATTTAGGTGCAGGACAACCCCAAACCGGCCTGTATTGTTACAAGCTTCTGGCTTCAGGGAGGCGCCCCGGATATAAAGCCGCTTCTGTGTGGCTCAACATCAGCGACTTTATCCAATGCAAGTGGCCTGGATGAGAGGAGAATGAAACATGACATTTCTGGTCAACCCTGTATGAATTTCAGTAATATTAGCTCCCTCTCCTTCTAACTTGCTTTATTTACAAGTATGCACTTGTCTCCCCACGAAACACTCAAAAATAGACAAGGAAACAATGACGTCGATGGGAAAGTATCATCTTAACAAAGTGTGTTTAAGGTGCACTCAATCATTTTTTTTTTTTGCTAACAAAAATGCATTTATTTTCTGTTGTGAAAATAGCACGTTTGAGAAATATTACAATTATTTTAGTCATATCAGTCTTCTGAATAAATCTGTTTATTCTTCATGAAGAGGGTTGCTCCCTCATTAGCAGGCATCATGCAGTTGATCATTTAATAACTCAACAAACATATTTTATATAGTTCTATTATTAGCTCAGAAAACAAGTACAGTAAGCATAGTAATAAAGGTTTTACCATTTGTTATATATTAATTCTATGTAATATTTTTAAAAGCATAAAATTGTAAAATGTATAATTGCTCATATGTGATCTTTATATGTGATGATCTTAAAAACATGTTCAGTAAGCTCAGTAATAAAAGCTTTAAAATGTTATATTAACGCTATATAATATCAGTTATATTGTTTAAATTAAAGCCACAAAATTGTCAAAATATAATTGCTCATATGTGCTCTTTATGTGCAATGAGCTTAAAAAACGTACAGCAAGCAGCATAATAAAAGCTTTAAAACACGTTATGTATTCATATAATATTTATAATATATTTATTTTAATGAAAAACGTGAAATGGTAAAAATATAATAGCTGATGTGATATTTGTATGCAATGAGCTTGAAAAACATGCACAGTAAGCGGAGTAATAAAAGCTTTAAAAAGTGTTCTGTATAATATTTATAATCTTTATATACTCTTTTACTTTTGTTACTTCTACTTCACAAAATGGGAACACAAAGCAATGATACACTTCTAATACAACTATAACAATGAATCTGCTTTGTGTTTTTATGCGATTCATTCACTGTTTCAGGAGTCACTGAGGAAGATTATCACAACGTTGGCTCTGAAGAATGAGGAAATTCAGAATTTCATCTGCTGTCTAAAGCAGAGTCTAGAGAACCTAGAGGTAAACACCACAGCAGGCCTTCTGCTCTTTTTACTCACATAACTGTTTGATGAATGAGGAAATCTTTCTGCCAGCTCTCAGCTGGCCCGCATATGTTGCAAAGCACAGTATTTGTCCAGACACATTTCACTAAACCAGCAATTTGCAACAGCAATACAGCTTTAAGCTGGAGGAGACAATGCAATTTTAAGTCTGCGTTAATGGTGTTTGCAGGCGAATTCAAACCGAGTGCAGGAGGATCTGGAGTCAGAGTTTAGCTCTCTGCATGCCATCCTGGATGTACTGAAGGAGGGCATGGTCACACGCATCAAGCAGGAAAGAGCCAGTCGCACATATGAGCTACAGGTGAGAGCACCATGAGGATCCCGAGCCATAGTACAACTTAAATTCTACCGAAACTCATTCAAATGTTTTATATTTTCTAGACAGAATGCTTAGATATATATCAGTAAAAGGCAGAGTGGGATGGCTTTAAAGCTTGTGCATGATTAGATGTGTTATGTTAAGAGAAGGATAATAAGAAATCCTTGAGGATTATAGTGTCTCTCTCTGTGTGTGTGTATAATCCAGATTGCATCCTTATATACCTGTACATACAAACAAAGCATCTTACAGCACACATTCCTCACAAGTAAACCTGTCATTACCTCTGTCATTACGCTCTTTGATTATTTACTTCCTTGGAAGAATATCATTTTAAATTTCCTTGTGACTAAAGTGTGTGAGCCTGAGGTCACAATATGAAAATATTTAGGTTCACCATTTTATCCACTCATGCTTTTCCATCAGTTTGTAGTTTTTATATATTGCATGATATACGATTACCTTTCTGAAACTAGTTGTTTTCCATGATGATTAATCTCATTTGTGGCTTACATCTCTTCTCATTGATTGTAATTTGCTTTACTTTTTGTTGTATTTTCCTCAACTATATAATTATATAATATATATATAATATAACATAATAATGATATATTATGTATAGTTATATAAAATATAATTATACGTATACAATGTATTATATTATATTATAATCATTATTTGGTCACATCTGAAGCCCTGTGATCAAGAAAATAAAAGTTTTTTGTTTTTTTGTTTTTTGCATTTACACTGCTTTTCAAAATGTTAGGGTCTGTAAGACTTTTTAATGCTTTTAAAAAAAAGTCTCTTATTTCTCACCAAGGCTGCATTCATTTTATCAAAAATATAGTAGAACAGTAATATTGTACTATATTATTACAATTTAAAATTGTAATTTATTCCTCTGATGGCAAAGCACGATCTTTGAAATCATTCTAATATGTTGATTTGGTGCTTAAGAAACATTTCTTATTATTATCAATGTTGACAACAGTTGTGTTGTTTAATATCACTATAGATTAGTAGAGTTATGTAAGTCCCTGTAGATGAATTGAGTAATGTAAACCTGCCTAAGCGTTTAGTAAACTTCAACCAGATTATATCATTGTCAAATGATATTATGAATGTTGTGATGGTCTTTTCAGAGTCAGCTGAGCGCATGCACCAAAGCCCTAGAGAGCTCAGAGGAGCTGCTGGAATTAGCCAATCAGACGCTCTGCTCATCTGAGAATGACAACTTCACTCAGGTACCGCCCACTTGGAATCTTTACAACACTGTTACAACTAAATGACTCATTTATTTACACTAAAAAGGGCTCCTATTATGCTCCTTTTTACAAGATATACTGTAAGTCTCAGGTGTCCCCAGAATGTGTCTGTGAAGTTTCACATCCAGATATCACAATCAAGGTGTTTGAGGTAGTTCAGAAACAGCACTTACTGATATAGAGAAAATAACTCCCTTTCAAGAGGACTTTACGCACTAAAGGAAGTTGAAAGTGTAAAAAGCATAATAATAGGACCCCTTTAATGACTTTATGGTGTTTCACTTTATGGTGAATTAAATTATATTTGTACAGTTGCTTTTAAGAGACTTGCCCTCAAAATGTACTTAATAATAAATAATTATTTGACTGTTTGTTTACAGCCTTTTGGAACTGCTGTGGTAACACTTTACTTGAAGGGGTGTGCATAAGACTGACATGACACCTTCATAATCATGACATGACACATGTCATGAATATGAAGGAGGTTTTATGCATGTTTATGACAACTGTCATTAAGTGTCATTCGCTCAGTTATGTCATTTTTAATGCAAATATGACATTATTTGACCTAACCCTACCCTTACCCTTACCCCTAACCATAGCCCATAACAAAGACATCTCAAACAATGTCATCTTTGCATTAAAAATGACATAACTGAGTGAATGTCACTTAATGACAGTTGTCATAAACATGCATAAAAACCCATTCATATTCATGACATGTGTCATGTCATGATTATGAAGGTGTCAGGTCAGTCTTATGCACACCCCTTCAAGTAAAGTGTAACCACTGCGGTTGTTGCTTTCTCTAACAAAGTGGCAAATTGTGTCAGATGCTGTTAGCTTTTCCTGCTAACACGTGCTGGTATGACTGATGTATTGTGTTTTGTTGAGACTCAATGAGACTCTGTTCTCTCGCTCCCTATCTCTCTCTGTCCCTTCTTCTTTTTCTCTCTCCTCTCTGCTGCAGGCGGCCAAAGAGATAAAAGATAGGTACTGTACAGATGTCCATAATTAGATCTTTGATTGAGTTCAAAGCACAGTGTAGAACATCTTCAAACACTCCTTCCCTGAAAGTTCATTCATTTTATCATTAACTCATTTAATCTTTTTTTTTTTTTTTAGCAAAATTCTAGTGATTTTTAGTAGTAAAATTTGGCTCATTTTCATTTCGTCTGACTCCCCAGGTGTGTGCGTGTGTATATGCATGGAGGGGTTTACTGTGCCCTCATTGATGTTTTCCATCATGACATTCCCACATTCCTGTTCTCAGTCTGTCAGATGAGTTTTATTGTCTTTATTGTAGACTGACTGTAAGTGTTTATTGTGGGTCTGTGTGTCTGCAGTGTGACTATGGCTCCGGCATTTCGCCTGTCTCTGAAAGCAAAGGCCAGTGACAGTATGAATCACATGATGGTGGACTTCACTCAGGAAAGAAATATGCTACAGGCCATCAAATTTCTTCCAGGTCGGTGTAACATCAATAAGGAAATGTCATAAATGGTTTAAGCAAAGCCCAGTTAATCGATTTCTGCCTGCTTTGCATGTAAACGGTTTTAATGGTGTGTAGAGTGTCAACATATCTGATGGTGTAACAGCTTTGGTGTCAAAAACAGAAAAATATAATATTTCCAAAATTTCACATAAATGCTGACAGATTTTCTTGTAAACTGTTCAAACTGGTTTCTGTTGTACATATAAACACACTGTTTTTAACTAAACATTGCAGAAGTAATCCCTGAGGCTGGGTCATAGGATGGTATTAATGATAAAATTAAATCAGATTTAATTTTAAATTAATTAACGAATAAATTAGAAATGATAATCATTGAATTAAAATTAATATAATAATTTATAAACATTATTTACCTTTAAAAACTATAATAATTTCAGAATTCCCATATATAACCATGGCACAATTTTAAGAAAATCTGACAATAAACAAAAAACAAACGTGTCACGAGTGTACTTCCGGTGTAGGCTGATAATATTGTGACCGAATTAGTTTACATTTTTATGACTTCATTACCTCTCTTTTACTGGTTCAAATTAAAGAAGTTATAACAATATAAAATTATATATATATATATATATATAAATTAATATTATTTACATTTTGAATGACAAGAATTTCAGAATTTCCATGTCTCATCTGGTATCAGATATCTCTGTTCCTCTCACCTTTAGTGCCTGCCACACCAGAAATCCACGTGGCTGAATGCCAGGTGTTTGATAACACAGTCACAGTGGTGTGGACCTTACCTGAACCCGACTCCAAAATCGACCACTACATCCTGGAATATCGGAGAACCAATCATGACGGTCCTCCTCGGGCTCGAGAAGACTACCCCTGGATGGTGGTGGAAGGGATAAAAGAGACTGAGTTCACACTCACGAGTACGTGCTGATGTTTGGTTTGCGTCTGATCTTTTCTTGAGTAGTTTTAGATAAAGTTATGACCATGATGTCATTTGTTTTTCAGGCCTTCGTTTTGACACGCGTTACATGACCTTTAGAGTGAAGGCATCCAATAAAGCGGTGGCGGGTGAATTCTCAGAGCCGGTTACTCTAGAAACACATGGTAAATTGCACTTACACACACACACACACACAGAGGGTAATGAGGCATGAAGTTTCTTCTCTGCACAGAGAAGAGTCTAACAAAAGTTACAAAGCACTATTACTACTAAACTGTCTGTTAAAGCCTGATTTAGAGACCACTGCTGTAGTATGTCTGCCCTTTTGTGAAATAAATTTTAGGGCTGTCAATTTAATGTTAATCTATGTTAATTAATGTTAATTTAGTGCAATTAATTCTAAAATAACAGTAATAATATAGATTGAATATTATGCCTATTCAATGCATAATATTTTTTTGAAATGTCTATATTTAGATGTGATTAATTGTGATTTAATTTGATTAATTGGCTTATCATGCAATTTCAATTTTAAAAATTATGGAAATATATAGGGCTGCATGATTAATTAGAATAAAGTGAAAATGCAATACACAATTACCAAATTGCAAAAGGCTGTTTTTTTAATATATATTTTTTTTTTACACCATGCAGCCCTATGAGATTATTTGGGAAGTGTTGAAATCATGGAAAACATGAAAATAAAATTGTATTCTTCAGAAAAATAAACTTAACCTCTTACTTTTAAATCTCCCTCTCATTTGCTTCCAGCATTCGTCTTTAAACTGGACGCAGGCTCAGCCCATCAGAACCTGAAGGTGGAGGATCTCAGTGTGGAATGGGACAGCAGCGGTGGGAAGGTAGCCGTCCAGGATATCCGTAAGGAGAAGAACAGGACCAGCTCTCCTATGCATTCTCCTGCCAGGTCAGAGTCACTCCTACTATTTTAAGACACAAAGTGCTGTACACTGACATGGTTGCCACTACACAGCTGTTTCTATTAAACAAATTTGTTGATTGCTTCTCATAGCTGGCTATAATAGACAGAAAGCAGATGGCCAGCATGGCCTATTTACACATGCTGTCGTTGGCTAAAACATTTGTATGCCAAAAGCAGCCTTTTGCTGAAATGTTTACCCAGCCTTAAGCCTGATAAATTGCTCTGCTTGTCCCATCTTATATATTTTTTCCTCCCTCAGGACAGCCATGATGTCCCCCAAAAGAGCTCCATCTGCTAGAGTGGGCCGAGACCGCTTCACAGCAGAGTCCTACACTGTCTTAGGTGAGTCAAAACAAACATATTGCAATCAGCTACAAAACACTGAAGAACCATCAGCTTATTCAAAAACTTCCCAAATTCTCTCCAATGTCCAGGAGACACCATGATCGATGCAGGGCAGTATTACTGGGAGGTACGGTTTGATAAGGAGAGTAAGTCGTTTGCAGCAGGAGTTGCTTTGCGGTCTCTAGGTCGCTTTGATCAGCTGGGGAAGAGTAACGCTTCCTGGTGCATCCACCTTAACAACTGGCTTCAGCAGAGCCTCACAGCCAAGCACAATAATAAAGCCAGAACACTGGACTGCCCCATTCCCGACCGCATTGGCATTTACTGCAACTATGAAGAAGGTGAGTTAAGCTATAAATATGACAAAATGAGTAAAATAGTGCCACAGTTAATGCTGAATCTAACTTGTTAGCTATGGTAAAAGCAAATGGATGATGTTGCCTGTGTGAGAACCGGCTGTTTGCAGCAGTCACAGATTGTATATTTAATATAGTGGTTGACAGATATATTGCTAAGTGCAGTATTTGGCTTTTTAAATTTTTGGCATTGGCTGAGATGTTTTTCTGTTTGTGTCAGACGTTGGACTTTTATTTTGACAATGTCAGGACTTTTGTGCAAACAAATAGTCACTATTTTTCTTCATTTGTAAAAAAATATTTCAATCTGATTATAGAATCAATTAGTTGCTCTATAGAGTATAAATGTGTTTATTTTACAGTTTTTTCCCCATCAGGTTTTTCATATTTTTTATTCTCTTTTTTTTTTTTTGTGAATATGTAAAATAAGCATAAATTTAATTGCAGCATGTGCCATTTGTATCTTTAAATTAAATTAAGTAGAATGATATTGTATATCTTTACATACAATATGTAACGCTTGTTTTTCCTCTCCCTTTTCAGGCACATTGTCTTTTTACAACTCCAGAACCAAAACTCTCCTTCATACATTCAGAACCAAGTTCCAGCAGCCTGTTATACCAGCCTTTATGGTAAGATATAATACAGCTCACTTTATATTTAACAATTAAATCACACATAAATTAGGGATATTTTGAACATGCTAGATGGCTATAATTTTCTACAGAGACATCTTACGAGTCCTTTGCGTAAGATGCATTCTTTCATTCAAAAGCATCTAGATGGAGTGCACAATGGAATAGAACAGAATGCAGGTCTATTTTTAACTCGAGTTGACACCATCATAAAAATGCATGGTCATGGAACAAGATGCTGCCAAAAAAAACCGCAAGTCACAACATGTTTGTCTGGATATGTGTAAGTAAGATATGTAAGAGCGGTGCTTCAAATGCAACACAACTTCTAACTAACATATTAAAAATTTTAAAAATAAAATGTACAAGAAAAGTCTAAATTTATTCATTTACTTACACAGTACAAAGTTTCAAGCATAAACTAGACTAACACACAATCTACCTTACTGATTGATAAGTTTTTCTATTTGGGTGATAAATGTCAGAAGTGGGACTTTTATTTTGACAGTGATGTGACTAAAATATATTGAGCTTTTTTGTAGGCCAAAACTGGAAAACCTTTTTGGCTAAAAGCCTGAAATAAGTTTTGTGGTTACCACAAGCTTGCTATATTTTCCCGTTTTATTCTATAACAAAATACATCAGTAGTACCACCTTGTAAGTTTTTAAAGGGGACATAACACACACACAATTTCACCCAATCTCATTTTAATCATGAGTACCTACCCAGCAAACACAGAACGTTCCCCTAACGTTAGTTTTTGGTTCCCGTTTGGTTATTTTTTTGGGAACCAAATACTAACGTTGGGGGAACGTTCTTTTTAGGATATATTTTTTGTAACCATAAAATAATGTTCCCAGAATGTTGCAGGGTGGTTATTTTTTAAAATAACCTAAAAATAACTTATAGAGAATGTTCCCTAGTGGTTATTTTTAGGTTATTTTTTTGCAACCATAAAATAACGTTCCCAGACCGTTGCAGGGTGGTTATTTTAAAAATAGCCTAACAGTAACTATACAGAACATTCCCTTATGGTTATTCTCAGGTTATTTTTATAACCCTGTAAAACTATGTTTCCAATGAAAATGTTGCAGATGTTAATGTGTTATGACCTATACAGAGCCCTGAAATTCGTTTAATGCAGCATTTATTAAAATACAGAATTAGATCAATCAAAACGCGATTTAAATTATAATATTAAGCCAGGGTTAAGCTATAAGAAATCATAAATTCGTGGGTTTGTTTTATCACTTGTCGCTTTCACAGAGAGCCGCGCGCTCGCAGAATTAAAAAATTAACGGTCATTTTTCATTTTACTGGCTGATTGACTCGCTCGTTTATCGATTTCATTAATGAATGATTACTTGAAATTAATATATTTATGAGAGTAAATATGATTCCGGAGGGATTTAAAATGCCTAACTGAAGAGAACATGATGTTAAGTGAGAGGTTTTTGTTTACGGATTAAAAGAAGGTCCTACACTTCAGTGGTAAGAAATGAATGTACTAATATCCTACTTTAAAGGGGTCATATGATGTTGCTAAAAAGAACATTATTTTGTGTATTTGGTGTAATGAAATGTGTTTATGC